CGATAGTTCAAAAGACGGATAAATTGTTGATTCAGTTGAGAAGCGTTTGCTAGTCTCTAAATCTCTTGGTTTGTAATCACAGTCGTTGTTTTTGCCCATACTTTGTAATTTCTAGCGCACGCTCGGCTGGCTGTCATGCATAGCATGTTGTTGTTTTTCATGTTGGTATAAAAGTAATGGAGTAAATTCTGATATTTCCCCGCGTTTCGATAGTATAGCGGGAAAATGTTGTATTATGACAAGATGTTTATACACATGTAGTGTGGATTGGTCAGAGAGTGACCAATAGAAATTGATTTTGATGTGTAATAGGGAACTGGTTTTAAAGGTTGGTCACTTCTAGCCGCCGATTTAAGCGAGCAACATCAAAGTTTTCATAATTTGTAGATATAAGAAAAAAAAAATTATCAGGTATACATATAGGTTGTGAGGTCCGTCGCAACTATTTTTGCATCCAGCGGCACTTGGCACCGGACACAGGTTTCTAGAGTTTTTAAAATTATTTTATCTCTAGTTTTTCCTGGCCGGCCCTGATGCTTTTCAAAATTTTCATATTATATAATTATAATATATGCAGCGGTTTTTGCAAATTTGATGGTTTTATTTCGTCAATGTACTGTATGTATATATTGATTTATTGTTTCGTGGAGACTGTCAATAAAATACGGCGTCCAGCCCACGCTCGGCTGGCTGTCATGCATAGCATGTTCTTGTTTTTCATGTTGGTATAAAAGTAATGGAGTGAATACTTCTAGTGTTTCGTTTTGGAGTCACAGTGTAATTCAGGAGCTTATTGTAAGTCACAGGTCCCGACGTGGTACGTGGAGACTGGTCAGTCGAATGAGACCGTAAAAAACGTCGCAGTATACATGTAGATGTTGACACGAAAAAGATCCCTTACTGATTCTTAATGATCAATGGCCATAAGTGCCGATTAAAATTCTAAATTAGGAGCCCTCAACCAGGCAGGTGTTCAAATGTTGTTGGCCCAACAATTTTTAAAGGTATTTTAAAGCAAAGAAACAACCTATTTTCAAGGGCCTAACTAAAGAAAAGTACACTGGACGTCTCAAGAAGCCATTCTATAAGCCAAGATTTCAACACTATTTTGAAAGAGTGTACATGTGTAAACAATATTTATTTCAACCAAACCATATCTGAAAATGATTAAAGTATCATTTAATGTAATAGTCACGAAGTTTACCCCATAAATAAAAGGAATGAAGAAACGACATCTGAATTATATTTATCAAGATGAAATAATTAGTATACAAAGACATATTTACAACCCCAATGGTCCTATATAGTAAAAATAGAATCATACAAGAACTGTTTATTAGATTAAAACGAATGAAATGCAGTGAAATTTATTGATATGCATAAACAAGGTGATCCCCTCATCTCCTCATGAGGCAGGCTTTACCATGCTTACTACGTATGTTAATTTGAGAAGACACATTTGTCAATACCATCTTAACACTCCTTAGTCATGGTACATTTAATTCACAAAATGTCTCAAAAGTGCTGGATTCGTATGAGTTAAAGATATACAATAAGATTGATACGTCGCCGCTGTTTTATAACACGAACTAGCCCTCTGTGGCCACATGTTGTGGGCGCCATATGAGAGTAAAACAAAAGCCGGTGTCGTATAGTGAGACTTCCCCCATAGTGAGGCTTCCCCCGGAAGGCTCACTATAGTGAGTCTTCCCCCCGGAAGGCTGGCTATATAGTGAGCCTTCCCCCCGGAAGAATGGCTATATAGTGAGACTTCCCCCACGGAAGTTTCACTATATAGCCGTTCTTCCGGGGGGAAGGCTCACTTTATAGCCAGCCTTCCCCCATTCATAGCGAGACTTCCCCCTCTTATTATAGTTTCCGGAACATTGTTTTATTATTTAAAAAAATTCTAACAGTGTTAATTTATGACGAAATTATCTTCCATATATATACATGTATTTATATATTTATTTTATATGCATGAACAGTTTGAATATCGTTTTAACTGTTTGATATCCATTATAACATATGCATGTACATTGAGATGATTTAATATATATAATATGTATACCCTTTCCTTTACATGTATTGATAACGAATAATTTTATTAGTTCACGAGTCACTTACATGAAATGTTCTGATTGTTTTCAGCATTTGAATAAAAAAAAGTTGATAGCATAGTTTTGTTTGTTTGTTTTTCTGTTTGTGTACAAACATTAGCTATTTACACATTAGATATGGTTCAACCGATTTAATAAAAAATGTAGCGAAAAGAAGAAAAATTTATAGTACTTTAAGACTATGCGAGAAATAAAATAATTGTGCTCGAATGTGAAAAATAAAACATGCATTCCAAATCTCAATTATGATTTTCTTAGTTCCTAACTATATTTATCGAAAGTTTCATGTACATAAAGTTTAAATCTACTTTAAGGATAATTTTAAGCATCATTTAATAGATATGCTGAAATGTAAAATTGATGGGAAAATATTTCATTTACTTTATGCACAGGGACGTTTACAATATTAAAGACTTCATAGATCAGTGGTTCGACAAAAATTTACACTACAGCACATAAATTTCAGATTTTTATGAAAGGTCCGTAACTGATCATGATTCAATTTGCTGAAATCACGAGAGAGTCAATGATTTGAGCGCCGTGGTCGTTTTTCTCCAATTGACGAAAACCAGTATGCACGCATTTTATAAAACAAACTTTAAAATTTTTACAACTTTATATATTAAATATAAGCAGATAAAACCCGTTTTGATAACAAAAAATATTGGAAAAGTAATAGTTCACCGATTTTCTTGAAATAATATATTATTTAACTCAGGATCAGAGGCGCTTAGATTTATTTTTATTAAACACATATATTTCAGAACATATACGTAATTTAATTTAACCTAACTGAGGAATTTAAAATAAAAAAAAACATACAATATAGGAATGACTAAAATATACATGTTTAATATGTATTTTGCATAATTTTATTGAATATCTCCTCCACCCTCTCTCTCTTTCTCTACTAATATATGTACATGTATTTCTCTCATTGTGATTTTTTTTCAATTCTGTCTGTCCGTTCGTAATACAGTCCATGTTTTTCGTTCTGTCTATTCCTTTTTTTTCATTTTCTTCGTCCGCTTGTGTTATTGCGAGTTAATTAATTAGATAACTAGTATTAAGAAGGAGTAACTCTTTACAAGTAGGATTTGAACCAAATATCGCGGAGGTACGTTCATACTCCCTCGCTCCTGACTTTGTCATGATGATCTAGCCTATGAATATTTCGCAAATATAATTAATTTGATATCGAATATTTTTAAATAAAAAAAAAATCTTATTTTTATGTAACGACAATAAATTTGATTTTAAAAACATTTTTTTAACAAACATTTTATTTCATTTGCATGTTTATTTCATAAGATGCTCATGTTCAGTCAGTAGACGCTGCCTGGTGATGGTCATCAAGATGATCTCCAAAGCCCATCAATCCAAATAAAGCCCGGAAACTTCCAACAAATTGGAAGTATGCTCCAGGAATGTAAATATCGCCTGGCTTCACATGTTTTATTCTGTTTTCAATTTCGAAGGTCAGATCCAAAATAAAGTCTGCAAGCTCGTGGTCTTGGGGGTTATCATAGACACACATCAAATCTTCCAAAGCTTCGCATAAGATAAGTTGGAAATAACAGTTCATGTCGTTACCATCCATTTGTATTTGGTAAATAAGGGACATTAGCAAATCCCTTATCCGTAGGATTTTTTGTTGAAAAGTATCATCACCTTCAATATGAAGTATTTTGACATAGTTTCGTAGAAACAAACGTCGTCCACTTGGTTGGCAAGATATTTCTCTTGCGTACATTTTCTTTAAGATGCTCATTATGGCAATAATCATACAGGATTTTGTTCTCAACATGTAAATGAAAAAACCGAGTTTGAGCTCCCTTTCAAAGTAAATGATCTCCCCTTGGTTGTCTTCGTAGTTCAATGTTGAAAGAATTAAAATGTTTATTCTGAATAAATGCCTGTGTCTCTCTTTCTGGAAGTATTTTTGTTTGTTCTTTTTTTTTTTTTTTTATAATAAAATTTCTTCTGACTCATACTGATACATGTACATTTTGTCTGAAATTTACTGCGGATTTTTATATTTCAAATACAATTTACATTTTATTAATTCATAATAATAATTCATGAATAAAAGGGTATTCATATTTTGATTTAACAATACACATTTATTAAAATAACTGTGCATAAACATTAGATGTTAGATATATAAACACGATTAATTTAATTCAATCAATTATCCGGGAATTTTTTTCTTAATTAAAATACCTATATTTTACGTACCAAACGCTAGATCCTGTTATATTTAAAGTAATACACGTGGAGGAAATGGAAAAGATAAAAGACTATCTTTGTGAGGGAAAATATCCCCTTCAGGTAGATAAAAATGAGAAAAGAAGAATCAGGGCTAAATCCAAAAGATTTATTATCAAAAGAGAAAAATTATTTTGGATTAATAATTCAAAACAATTAAGAGAAGTAGTTTTGGAGCAACAAAAAATGACAGAAATTTTAGAAACATATCATGATAATAGAGGCCATATGGGAATAGAGAGGACATATAAGACCATATCTGAACTGTTCTTTTGGGAAAACATGGACGAAAATGTTCGAGAGTATGTCAACTCGTGCCATGCATGCCAAAAGTGTGGCAAATTTTCGAAAGTGACCCAAGAACTGCATCCCATACCAATCGTGTCCCCCTGGCATCACATTTGTATTGATTTAGTTTCAATGCCTCGCTCAAATTCCAATTACAATTACATATTGACAATTGTCGACTTTTTTACAAAGTGGCCGGAAGCAATTCCTCTTCGATCAAAGACCTCTGCAGAAGTTGCACTGGCTCTATACAGAAAGTTTTTGGATAGAGGATTCCCCTCAGTTATTAGTAGTGACCAGGGAAGGGAATTCGTAAACTCAATTATGGATGAATTGTCCGAAAAATTGAAATTTGAGCAGCGTATTTCATCTGCTTACCATCCCGAGACAAACGGTCTCGTTGAACGCTTTAATCAAACAATTCAGAAAATGTTGTTCAAATCAGCTAACGAGGACCACAGCAATTGGGATGAATGCATTGATGAAGCTCTCTTCTCGTATAGAACTCAACCTCAAAAATCTACAAAATTCAGCCCCTTCCAAATCATGTACGGCCGAAAACACTGGCAAGACTCAACATTAGAATTAGAGCCTACTAAAATCCCTTCTGCAGATGAAATATTTGAACATTTATCACAAATAAGAAACACTGTAAACGAAAAAGTTATGGAAAATGTCAAAACAGCTCAAGCAATTCAGGTCATTCAGCACAAAAGAAAGAGAGGCAACAAAATACATGTACAATTTGCAAAAAATGATAAGGTTTTGTTGTACAACTCCAGAAAAGCTGGCAGAAAGGGGTCAAAGATGGAGGCTACCTGGCAAGGACCATATTTTATATCAGATATCGGTTCAAAGGGGACAGTTTCTCTGCAAGACGAACATGGGAAAGTTCTGAAAACAAAATAGAAAATAAGGAAAACCATGACGGGAGTTCAAAAGCTGTTAAACGGAAGACGCAAGATGCAGAAAAACCTGACCAAAGAAAAATAAAACGCGTCATCATAGAAAGAGAACACAGTGATGGTAACTCTCAAGGTATATTATTGTATGATTTTTTGTTGCTGAAATATATCAATTTAAACATATCATTAGTACATGTAAACGAGAGCTTCACATCTCTCTCTCTCTCATCATATATTTTTGCCGTTTATAACTGTAACAAAATTACAATCTGTAGTACATGCATACGGATATAAATTTGTGGCGATTTACAGCTGCTTATCTTAGAAACAAAACATTTATAATCATTTCACTCTGGAAAAGCGAAAATGCATTGATAGACAGGTAATTTTTTTTTAGGAAATGGTGTGCAAAGAAAGGGCAACGAGGATGCCGATGAGCTTCCCGATATTGAACCAACGGATGCTAGACGAGAAACCAACGATGAACTGCCTGATATTGAACCAACAGATGCTGGACGCGTAACCACTGATGAGCTACCTGATATTGAACCAGCACAAAAGATTCATTCAGACATTGCTGTAGATGATGTTGTATTTCTTTCAGCAACGAATGAACAATTTGTATTTAATACAGTTGATCATAAGTGGCAACAAAAACATATAAAAGTTTTGGGCAAAAGTGCGAAAATTAAAAAAGAGCATTGTGAGAAAAGGGTATCCAAGTTAACGAATACGATTATGAGGCTTTTCATGAAGGGGGATGGAAATTGTTTTTTTAGATCAATTAGTCACGCTATTTCAGGCTCTCAGGCTTACCATTTGGAAGCCAGGGAAGCCGTGGTAGCATGGATGACAAAAAATCACAAAATTATCAAATCGCATTTTGGAAAAGAGTATTTGGAAAAAAGCAATATGAAACAGGTGGGGACCTGGGCGACGGAGACGGAAATTCTGTCTACTGCTGCATTGTTAGGTACTGATATTCTCATTTTATGCAGACAAAACAATACTCTTGTTTAAAATAAGTATGCCGCGAGTATGTTTAGAAAGGAACTATGTGAAAATGAATGCATATATCTTGTCAATGATTCAGGGGTGCATTTTGACTATGTCTACTCGCTGTCCAATTAAGTAATTAAAAGATTTCATAGTGATTATCCTTGAGTTTTTGTTACTTATTTAAAAAGTTGAATGGCACATGCTGATTCAAAATTACCAGTATGTTTCGCCCCACGCATTAAAACATGGTATTCTTATTTTCAATTTGTGTGGAATAACAAACAACGTATTGGTTTGTACATGTGTTGAAGTTAACAAATGAATTATTTTTGTTATTTTTTTTAATTCATATTCAAATATCTTATCTCAATCAAATAATGACTGATGCATACATGCACGCTCTGTGTTTCAACGTATAAAGTGTAAAAATGAAGTTGCGACAAAACAGATCTTCACACTAAAATTGACAATTAGCCATCTCCGACTTTAGTGCAAAATAGTTTAGTCAAATAAGTGACAATTGCAATGCAGTATATATTTTTTTTAATTTTACGTATTTTTATACGTGTATTCAAACATCCAATCGTCCAAACCCAGTTTAATAAAATATCTTTAAATAAATAATTTTTAAAACAAGACCAAAATGAAAAAATAATTGTATGAATTGATGTATGGGTGTGATGAGCAGGGGATGCACACATTTTCATGCAATTTTTCCGGTCATAAATTTTAAAAAAAAAAAGGGGGGGTTAAGCCCAATCCATGCATCCGGTGCCTTTGCTAAAATATGCATGACAGTCAGAATTTGATTTAAAGTGTATTAGAACTCAAATCCATCTTATTTGATTTTATAGTGATGTAATTTCGTTAATATCACGCAAATTTAATTTCAAAATGAAATACAAATCCTAAAAATACTTCATAAAATTTATAAAAGTTAAAAGGTCCCTAAAGCATACAATAAATATTTAATTATGTCAATGTATATAAAATCCAAACCGAAAACCGAAGGGGGAAGACTCACTATGGTCATTATGGGGGGAAGTCTCACTATATAGCCATATTTCCCCCCAGGGGGAAGACACACTATATAGCCAGACTTCCGGGGGGAAGTCTCACTATGGCGGAAGTCTCACTATATGACACCGGCATTCTGATAAAAAAAAACGGATTTTGATGAAATTGTATTTTATAAAGTTGATAAACAATTATAAAAAAAAATATTTGAATATTCTTATTTAAAAAAAAAAACTTTCAGTCGGCACGATTTAAGTGAGTCGGTCGCGTTAGGGGAAACAAAGGTATTTTTTATTTTGCCCTAGCTATTAATTTTGAACCATTGATGCTAAGGCTTTCATATCTCGCATATTCCTTGTGACAAAACCTATCTCCTACTTTTGAAAAACTTGAAGCTTGGCCATAACTTTTGAATGGTTGGTAGCAGGGCTTTAATATTTCACATGTTTATTTCTTGTTTCAAAGATTTGTTGGATACCAATATATATTGGCTCATGACCTTGGGGTTTTACCTACTTTTGAAAACTATAACCTTGGTCATAACTTCTCAGCGGTTGATGATAGGGCTTTCAAATTTGCATGCACATTTCCTGTGACAAGACTGATCTTTGAGAATCAAGTTTGACCTCTTGACCCTGAGCTAGGAGTTTGATCTACTTTTGAAAAAAACCCTAACTTTTGACGTATCTTTTGTATGAATGGTGTAAGGTCGTTCATATTTCACATGTAACTTTTTGATGTTGGCTGCCTTAACAATTTTCGGACTCACAGTCAGTGACTATTTTTTAAGAAAATAATAAAATCGCTTAATTACACAAGTGTACATGTAAAGAAAATTTGGAAAAAAAAAATACATCTGAATAAATTAGGGATGGCAACGAATATTCGAACATTCGATGAGTTGATATTCGAATATGAATTTAAGATTCGAATATTCGGTGTTTTTCAGATTTCATAAAAAGAAGTACTGTGATTAATAAATTTTGATTAGAATAGTGCTGGAATTATCCCAGTTTAATTTACTAGCGATCAATTTCGATCGCCTGATTTCTTTCACTTCTTTCTTGGCTTATAAATCTACTAAATAACATGTATTTTGTTTTGAGTAAGGTGTTAAAGAATTGTACAAAAATGCTTTATGTATAATACAAAACGTACTTTCATAGTTTTCATTAGTTAGATACGATCGGATCTAGAATAGAGGACAATAAATGAAATCTAAGAATGTCTAAAAGGCATGAAGAGTATACTTACCAAAATAAAATTATTTGATCATTGAATGAATGTCCGATAGAATTAATCTGTAATTAATATTGTAAAGGGCTTAATTTCAGAATAAATTGTATCAAAGATTATAATCATATCTCTTATCAGGCAGTTATTACACGTATTGAAATCTGAAAAGTATACAGTTACGACTATCTTGCCTTTTGTAAGACGACTGGTTCCTCAGTTGGAGCTACTATAAATACACGTTTTATTTGTTAAAATTATACTTTTCTACATTTAAATCAATTATTTTTCTCAAACATTGACAAACATCAAATGGAATTCCTTATTGTACACCTACAAATGTCTTCATACAATTTTATTTCCAATATAAGTATACCTACGCTAAACCTTTCATGAAAGTAGGATGATGCATATATAAGATAAAACAGATTTGATTTATTTTATCGAATATTCGAATATATTCGAATACTTTCATTGAATATTCGAATATGAATTATTGAGAAAATTGACATCCCTAGAATAAATTCAATAATCACAACCTTTTTTGATACTATATTAAATATTGTACTTAAAATGTACATGACTTGGAAGGAGTTAATGCGTTTTATACTGTATTATACTGTATATACTATATAGAGCGAAAAAAATAAAAACAAATACCTGAGGCTTTAATGAATTCTAACAAATAAAAAATAATTACATTTCCGATAGGTCGGTGAATTTGACCAATTTTTAAGCCATTTCTATATAATTATGTGTCATCTCCACAGGTGGTATTTAAAACGCCTTTGTTTGACATGGATGAATTTGTCCATGACTGCTAGGATGTCGATGTTTTTTTCCCTGTGAATGTGCAGCATAGCTAAGAAAAATGTCTGTCGTCATAGTTGATAGTTCTTGATTCTTTTCATTGCACTAAAGGATCTCTCAGCAGTCGACACTGATATTGTCAAGATTCTGACCATGCGTTCAATGTGCAGAAATTAAAGACCATGCGATATGCTGTCAAGTGTCTCAATCAGAATGCTTGGTTTCTCATGCAATGGAACCAAAGACCAATGAACCCTCCATCTTCGAATTTCTGCTCCAAATTCTTCTAGCGTTCCAATGTCAGAACTATAAACTTCGTGTAACCTAATCTTGACTTCATCCGCTAGACCGTCTAGGAGACTAGGAATTAAATACTGAGCAAGAAACCGTTTTTCGTTCTCCAATAATCTGCTAATTCACTGATCAAATGTTCCATAAACGGAAAATATAAAGCCACTTTATAGTAAGCCTTGGCATCGTTCACTGGATAATTTGCCGCCCTACAAGTCTGGGTGTGGATGGGTTGTGCAATCTGGCGCGAAGCTTCGAGAGATCATCCCATACTGCTTCATCAGTTCTCTCATTCCTCAGCATTTACACGACAACCTTAGCTTCGCGAACAGCGCTCACAAGATCAACCTGTTTAGCCTGCAAATTGTTTGTCAAACACAGTCCCGCTTAAGACATGTTCGCTTACAACAAGGGCAACAATGAATTCAAATCTAAGTAATAGCTAAACGTTTCCCTGCCTTATCATCTCCGTTTTCTTCCAACATCTCTAAAGCTGAAACTTCAACTGTAAATGAAAAGCGCGTCTGCTCTGCTAAACCACATTGTTTCACATAACGATCGAAGCTTATTACGCTTTCCCATTTGTTCGGGTGCCGTTGGATCGTTTTCTAGTGCGTTCTTAAAAGAGAGAAGCCTCTTTGCCGAGTAGTTGAATGCTAAACCTATGCCCCGTACTGTCTCTATCGCTGTCCTACTCATGGTATATTGGTTAAGTGGTTAAGTGGACAATGGCTAAGTTAAGTTGATGAGATTTGCAATGCATGTAGGATGCATTTGGTACTCTCTCTGTGATCTTTTCCTGTATTCCGTTGAACTTCCCCGACATATTCGTAGCTCTATCGTATCCTTGGCCTAGCATGTGATCTATGTTAACTCTATGAAAAATGACAAAATACCGGCGTTGAGAGATCGATGAAACTTGTGAAATGTGTTTATAGCTTTCAAGAATTACGTGCGCCTCAAGAATAAATTGTAAACAGACACGTGTGGTAATTTAAGAGATGAATTTAATTTTTTGAGAATTCATGAGGACATGAACTACGACCTTCACGCCGGCATATTTCATGAAGTGCGTTAGCACAATAGTAGCAGTAAGGGATCTTTATCGTGCCAACGCCTGCCATGACAGGGGCCTCGGTTTGTAAGGTCTCATCCGAAGGACCCGCAATTTTCACTTCAACATGCCGAGCGCTAGGCGAAGGAACAGCTGCTATCTCTTTTTTAATGGCTTAGTTCAGTCGCGGCCGAGATTCAAACTCACGACCTTCCGATCACGGAGCGAGCGCTCTACCGACTGAGCTACCGTGACGTCACGATGGGGTGTGTTGAACGTATAATGAAAATGCATTATTTCTTGGAAGATCTTCTGCTCTGCTCTTGGGCATCTAGGAGACAAAGAGGGTACAGAATTGTAATAAGCAATGGTAATTTAACCAGAAAAACCGGTAAATAATAGATAAATAAATTTGAAAAAAAAATCGTTTAGTATCTTTG